GAATGTTGTCTAGCCAGTATAAGAAGGGGTAAAAAATGTCTCAAATCCAGCTTTTGTGACCTCATCTGCTGCAATCAACTTGCAGCACTGCCCCCTTGCTCACAATGAGAACCTGAAATGAGCTTTTCCAGTATTGCATCCCCCACTTTGCAATGAGTGCAGGGAAAGTTAGGTTAGAAGATTTTATTAAACTAACAATGAAATTTCAATAAAAAGTTAAAACTAAGCTTTATTTTCCTGACCCAAGTAAGAGTTAAAGCATGTGGAACAGAATGTAAATTTGTATAAAAAACAATTTATCTTTAATAACAAGGGTCTGTATTCAAACTCAACTTTTGTCCCAGAAATGAATTCTTTCTCATTATTTTTTTGTTAAAGCTTTTCCAGATAAGCCTACTTTTTCAAATTAGTAATTTCTTTCAAATCTCCTCCATATTTTTTCTTTAGTTCACTCTAAATGCTACAAGATATTCTGTTCAGGTATCTGTGATCTAATGCTAATTAATAATAGACAATACCAACTGAGTGGGAGAGGGGCCATTTTATGCACTTTACATGAGATATATACTATTGATTTATAGAATTCTTATTACAGTTCATGAGATCTTATTATTATCTTTATTTTAAAGAATGAGTAACTGAGCAACAAAAAGATATTATTCATTGCTTATAATATGTGTATGTAACAAGTTTTCCTGCAGGGGCTGAAAACTACTTAAAGGCAGACAACTTTCATTTTTTACTTTCTCTATCACAGCAACATATCAACATGTGCCTTGAGCCCTGGCCAGTGTAGCTTATGACTGAGCATTGATCCAAGCACCAAGAGATCACCAGGTTGATTCGTCATCAGGGCACATGCCTGGGTTGTGGGCTCGATCCCCCGTGGGGGTGTGTGCAGGAGGCAGCCAATTAATAGTTTCTCATCAGTGTTTCTTTATTCCTCTCCATTCCTCTCTCTATATAAATCAATTTTTAAAATATATATTTTTTAAAAAGATGTGTGTTGAGCATGGTGGACACACAGAATACATACTTGTAGGTGGATGGACAATTTTACCCTATCCATTGGTTTCTCAAATGTGCTCTATATTTTGTCTACTATGAAATTTTATGTTGCTTTAATGTCTATAGTTTTGGCCAACAGTGGTATTTTTCACTGAAGGACCATTGCAAAAAAAAGAACTCTGAAAGGAGTAAGAGCTCAATTCCTCTTTCTCTAAATTCTCTGTTCTTCAAACCAGAAAAACTTGGAATCTATGTTTTATGTGTTATTCTGAAATTTTTAGAGAGGAAGGGAGATGAAGAGAGAGATAGAAACATCAATGATGAGAATCATTGATTGGCTGCCTTCTACACATTGGACCGAACCCGCAACCCAGGCATGCCCTTGAATGGAATCGAACCTGGGACCTTTCCATCTGCAGCCCAATGCTCTATCCACTGAGCCAAACTGGCGAGGGCATTATTCTGAATTTTTATTGACATATTACATTGTGTTGATATGATATAAATATATATTACAAAATGAGTACCATTACATAATTATTGTTGGTGAAATGAAGATTGGTATAGCCACTATGAAAACTATATGGAGTTACCTCAAAATATTAAAAATGAACTGTCTTATGACTCAGCAATTCCACACTTCTTGGAATATGTACCAAGAAACCCAATACACTAGTTAGAAAGAATACATGCCACCCCCGTGTTCATTGCAGCGTTATTTGCAATATCCAAGATTTGGAAGCATCCCAAGTGTCCAGCAGTACATAAATGGATAAAAAAAAAACTGTTATACATTTACACAATGGAATACTACTCAGCTGTAACAGAGAAGGAAGTCTTACCTTTTGTGACAGCATGGATGGACCTGTAGAGTTTTAGGCTAAGTGAAATAAACCAGTCAGAGAAAGATAAGTACCACATGCTTTTATTTACATGTGGACTCTAATGAACAAAATAAATTAACAAGCAAATAGAAACAGACTCATAGAGAACTGACTGACAGCTGTCAGAGAGGAGGGAGGTTTGTGGGCTGGATTAAAAAGTGAAGGGATTAAGCAAAAAAGAATAACTCAGACAATTGTTAAATGACAATGCCTTTAACTCACATCAAATATCTCTCTAGAGATAGAAACATCAATGAGAGAGAAACATCATAGATCAGCTGCCTCCAACACCCCCTCACTGGGAATCAAGCCCAAAATCCTGTCATGTGCCCTGACTGGAAATCATGATCTCTTAGTTCCTGGGTTGATGAGACACACCAGCCAAGCTAGATCATTTTAAATTCTAGTGTTTTGTTTGGTAATTATCATTCGAAATATTTCTTTTGTAAAAGATTTTATTGATTTAAAAAATATTTTTATTGATTTCAGAGAGGAATGGAGAGGGAGAGAGAGAGAAACATCAATGATGAGAATCATTGATCGGCTGCCTCCTGCACACCCCCTACTGGGGATCGAGCCTGCAACCTCAGCATGTGCCCTTGCCTAGAATCAAACCCGGGACCCTTCAGTCCACAGGCGTACACTCTATTCACTGAGCCAATCCAGCTAGGGCTATTTTATTGATTTTTTTTTCAGAGAGGAAGGGACAGAGATAGCCAGAAACATTGATGAGAGAGAAACATCAGTCAGCTGCGTCCTGCACATCCCCTTGTACATGCCCTTAACTGGAATAGACTCGGGGACCCTTGAGTCTGTAGTCCGATACTCTATTCACTGAGCCAAATGGGCCAGGGTGGTAATTATCATTTGAATGTGTAATTTCTTACTTTGAAATCGCCTTACTTTGGTAGACATATTTTGAGTTAAAACACTCTCACATTTTATGAAGTTAATTTGGTGAACATTTGCCCCTTTTTCCAAAGTTATGTTGGGTAGGAGAATGTCATTTCATTTTTGAGCTTTAGTCTAGCTACAGTTTATTCCCAACAACAATCTTATTTGTGTCTGTGGGACACTGTCCCTAACACACCCAAAAGTTTTCTCATTCCACAGAGCTATCCTTCCAACTTTAAATTGCTTTGGGAATTGGGGACCAATTACAACTGTTATATTACAAATACTTATTCTTTCACATCTGTGGAATCTGGCATTATTTGTTGAACCTGACCTTAATTCAAAATGCTGACATTAATACTAAGAAGAAAATACCTGGTTCTTTTAGGAGGTAAGGAAGGAATAACTTATCAGTAGAAAGGTAAGTCCTCAATACCATGAAAATGTATTTCAATCTATAGTAAGGCTGTTATTTAATGTTCATTTCATTGTCAGCAATATACAGATCTGAATCACTTTATTATTTCATTGTTATTTATAAAATGTCTGTTAATATAATTCTCAAAGCAATTTTCCTGTGCTATCTCATTATTTCTGTATACTATCCAAGCAAGAAAAGTAAAGCAGGTATTTTTATCACCATTTTTAAAATGAAAAGACTGCAGCTCTAATTAGGAGCTCAAAACTTCAAACCAGAATTTCATGTTAGCCTGAGACACTATTCCAGTATGTTAAACTCATGTCATTTATGTATATTAATAAGGACAGTAATTCCTTCTTATCCAAGGTCTCACTTTTCACTGTTTCAATTATATAATGTAATTATACTTATAATATATTTTCATATGTACTTTTCCTGTACCCAATGGAATTGTCAGCTTTGTAATGGCAGGCACTTTTACTTTATTCTTTTATTTATTCTTTTATGCTTACAATATGACTGGGTTAAAGATCTGGCAAAGTTTTGCCTACTTTAAAAAACTTTGTCTTTCAATAATATTTTCTATTATATTTAGGATGTTTGCAAACATGATGTGAATATGGAGTTTTCTGTAAAACAAAAAAGTATGTTCTTGTCATTTTTCAGGATGGCATTCCCATCCATCATAAAGTGAATGAAAATCCATTTGGATCAGAAAAATGTACATAATCTACCTATTCGGTGTAGCTAAAGCCCTGCTACCTGTGTGTTCAGACCTTTTGCAAAAGTATCACCTGGTCATTCAGAATAAATGCAGAATCTCAGGAGCTGCCCTGAACACTAAAGCAGAATCTAAAGTTTTCAAGATAACCAGTTGCTTCATATATAATGAAAGTTACTAAAGATGTGAACTAGCCTTAATAGGAGCTTCAAGCTCCACTTATTTGCTACCTTGTTAACTTTGGAGTTCCATCTTTTATGTTTGAAAAAACAGAAATAATAGAAACGATTATATTTTATAAATTATAGAATGGTACATATATTTATATAATATATTTAAACCTAATTTTCTTAGTTTTAACTAAATGAGTAAATTATCAAGATTTATTCTGATTTACCTATTATTTTATAGAATAAAATAAATGAAGAGACTGTGTAATGTTCTCCAAAGATTATCTAAAACATTCATGTGGAGCTGATATATGCAATGTTTCATAGAAGATACCCAGAGAGGCTGGAATATGAGATCAACTATGTTTAAACCTATTAAATTTCAGTTAATGCCATTCAAGTTATTATTAATTGTCTATAAAATATATAATTAAATTTAATAATCTAAGGTATGCAGGCCAAGAAAGAAATTTACACCAAAAAAATCAAAGTTGCTGTGAAATTTTGACCTTCATTATTAATTCCAAATCTAATTTTCAGTGTTTTGCCATTTCCACTGCTTGCTTTCTGGGGCAGATGAAGAAGTCAGGCTTATAATTAGTAATTAGTCAAGAGTTTAGAAATCTCAACTGAGGGTCATGTCCTCAACAGCAGGAAATATTACTTCTATGTCTGATCAGAGGTAGATCTTCGTATATTGGCATTGGGTGCTGGAACTTCCATCTTTCCCAATTTCATTGCATTCTAGTTACATACATTGTTGAAGATAACCAGATGTTAGAGCTTCAAGCAAACACCCTTTTAATCCATTCTAAAAAAGTGAATTGTTCAGGTAATTTTTACAAGTGTTTCTTGGCAGTGAATGAATTTTATATTGCATCTTCCTTCTGAAAGCAGATGACATGGATGAAATTAACCAGACATTTGTGTCAGAATTTCTACTTCTTGGTCTTTCTGGATACCCAATGACTGAGATCATTTACTTTGCTCTAATTCTGGTTATGTATCTAGTGATTCTGATTGGCAATGGTGTTCTGATCATAGCGAGCATCTTTGATTCCCGTCTTCATATCCCCATGTACTTCTTTCTGGGCAACCTCTCTTTCCTGGATATTTGCTACACATCCTCCTTTGTTCCCTCAACATTGGTGAGTTTAATCTCAAAGAAAAGGAACATTTCCTTCACTGGATGCACAGTGCAGATGTTCTTTGGGTTTGCAATGGGGTCAACAGAATGTTTTCTCCTTGGCATGATGGCCTTTGACCGCTATGTGGCCATCTGTAACCCTCTGAGATACCCCATCATCATGAGCAAGTCGGTGTATGTTCTGATGGCTTCTGTCTCATGGCTCTCCGGCGGAATCAACTCAATGGTGCAAACATCTCTTGCCATGCAATTGCCTTTCTGTAGGAATATTATCAATAACTTCACATGTGAAATATTAGCTGTCCTTAAACTAGCTTGTGCTGATATATCCCTCAACGTTATCACCATGATGATATCCAATATGGCGTTCCTGGTTCTTCCACTGCTGGTCATTTTTTCCTCCTACACGTTCATCCTCTACACCATCTTGAGAATGAACTCAGCCACGGGGAGGCACAAAGCCTTTTCCACCTGCTCAGCACACATGACTGTGGTGATCATATTTTATGGAACCGTCTTCTTTGTGTATGCCAAACCCAAGTCTCAAAAACAGCCTAGGGAAGACAAGTTGCAAATTTCAGACAAGCTTATTTCCATTTTTTATGGGGTAGTGACCCCCATGCTAAATCCTATAATCTATAGCTTGAGAAATAAGGATGTAAAAGCTGCTGTGAAATATCTGCTGAACAAAAAAACTATTCAATAAATATTTTCTATTCAGAAAATAAGTCTGTGTGTAATAGGCACAAAGGTGGACTCATAGGTAAACCAGCAAGAACCTCCTTTGCGGAAAGCATGGTGTTTTTATTCTTCGCCTTCCCTAACCCTGTACAGCAATAATTACTGAGAAATAGAGTTTTCTATAAACTCAGCTTCCAATATGCTCTGATCCAGATCACACAAGAACAATGAGTTCTATTAGCGTCTCCTGGTGATATCTAAAATGAGTGTTTCTGTTATACTGTGTGGAAATATTGTAGAAAACAATCACATACAGCTTTGGAAGTAGAGAGGCAAGAGTACAAAATCTGTAATTATACAAACTACCTAAATAATATGGGATAGACTTTCTTTGTAAGCCATAGTTATCTTACCATGCATTAAGGAAATGACTAAAACCAGGTCCCTATGGAGAAGCATAGTACCAACTTTGTAGTGTCCTAAAAATTCAGAATTGAAGCTAAGAACTTCAAGTTGAGGTCTTAAAGTTACGACTAAGCACCTCTTTGACCAAAGCTAATAATTACAAGAGCTGGATATATTTTATACAAGATAAAAATCACTCTGCTAATATGCCACACCCTCTTTTGTGCTTCCCTCCCTAACTATATAAAGAAAAGTTCAGGCCAGGAGAAGAAACTTCAACCTTTTGGGGAGCGCAAAACGGAGTGGTGAGAGGTGTCTCCCTGCAGTCCCCGTGGAAGAATGGAGAAGCAGCTTTTTCCAATGCAAGCCCAGTGCGGGTGTGCTACAAAACAACTCTTAAGGTTTTGGGTGCCTGCAAAGAAAGAGCATCTGGCTTTTGTTGTCATGAATGAAGACCTGCTGAGCTTTCAAGACTGCAGACTAGCAGAGAACTATCTAAAAGAGGGAAGAAAGGAGGCATTTTATGCCAAAATAAACAAACATTTCAAATCTGACTGAGATGTTCTCAAAGGATCCAAAAGAGTGATAAAAAAAGTGATTGGGAAAATAAAATCAGTTTTTTCATTCTCCAATGCATTGAAACTCTTCAATAAATTTATCATAGTTGTTTTTTTGTTTTGTTTTGTTTTGTTTTACCATTTAGCTTTCCCATAATCTCTTGGTCCATTATGATGGCTAAGCTTTAATCTTATTTTCTTTATCATATATATATATATATATATATATATATATATATATATATATATATATTATTGATTACAGAGAAGAGAGGAGAGGGAGAAAGAGATAGAAACATCAGTGATGAGAAAGAATAATTGATTGGCTGACTCTTGCAATCGCCCTCCCCACTGGGGATTGACCCTGCAACTGAGGCATATGCCCTTAACCAGAATCAAACCGGAGACCCTACAAGATATACAAATATATCTTGTAGCTATATTTTTATCTTGTATAAAAATCTGGCGTCAGCTATATCCACTAAGCCAAACCAGCTAGGGCTGATTTTATTAATTTTACTCTTTCCTGTTTTAGAGCCACAACATGACCATATCTCCTACTCAGAGGCTGCTTTCTTTGCCAATCCATCTCCTTTGGGTTGACCCATGTTTCTACATAAATGATGTAGTCACTAAATTCTCTGTTCTTCCCCTTCTCCATCAAAATGAGAGTACTATCACTGCAGAAAACATTCAGCTGCCCCTCTCTCCTCCAGGTGGGTACCATTGGCATTGCTGTGGGTTCTATACAGAAATACAGAAGGGTGTGTATAGACCCTTTGGATGACGGCTTTTGAACTTCTAGTGCTTCTCTTCCTCCCTCCTCCCTGGGGCCCCTGTATTTGTATCTGATCTTTGTTTAATTACCTTTGACTTTGATTTATGACAACAAGTCTTTAGGCATATAAAAATATTATTTAAATAGTTTTAACCAACTCTTTAGCACCTGAGTTTTACTCCCCCCTCCCCCCACCATAGCTTTTCACTTTTGAGTTGTGAACTTGTCATATGTAGTCTTTGTTATGTTGAAGTACCTTCTTTCTATATCTGATTAAGTATTTTTATCATGAAAGTGTATTGAATTTTATCAAGTGCTTTTTCTGCATCTATTGAATAAATCATATAGTTTTAAATATTCATTCTGTTTATATGGAGTTTCATGTTTATTGATTTTCAAATGTTGAATCATTCTTGCAACTCAGAGATAAATCCCACATGATCCTTTTAATGTGTTGTTGAACTTGTTTTTCTTATATTTTGTTGAGAATTGTTTTGTCTATGCTCATCAGGAATATTGGTCTATATTATTCTTTTCTTGTAATGTCCTTACCTGGTATTGGTATAAGGGCAATGCTGTCCTCGTAAAATACATTTGGAAGTATTCCATTTTCTTCAGTTCTTTGGAAGATTTTCAGAGGGACTGGAATTAATTTCTTTTAGATATTTGGCAGAATTCATCATTGAAGCCATCTGGTCCTGGACTCTTCTTTCTTGGGAGGTTTTTTTTTTATTTATTATTATTGATTTACTTTCTTTATTCATTACTACTCTCTTCAGATGAGCATAACACAATCACATGCAGCAGTTTTACATTGTATTTCCTCCTTTCATGTAATTGATATCAGGTTTCTGTATTGTTTTTCTATTAACAAATTTCTGTGGTATTAGTTATGTTGTAGAAGTCCGGAGAAAAACCAAGCAACACCAAGAGAAATTGAGTTACACTGTTTATTACGCATGCAGGCTCAGAGAAATATTTCAAATTCTGAGCAAAATGTGGAGGAAGTTTTCCCTTTTTATATCTTTCCTGCCCTTTTGTCAGACAGCTAAGTATATCTTCCCTATTATTCACTCAAGTTAAAAGCAGCATTAATTTATAGAGTAAGGGCCTGTCTAAAAAATTACAGTTAACTACATAGAACAAGGGATCATTTAAAAATAGAGAATTTTATTTTTATTTTTATTTTTTAAAAATATATATTTTATTGATTTTTTTTTACAGAGAGGAAGAGAAAGGGATAGAGAGTTAGAAACATTGATGAGAGAGAATCATTGATCAGCTGCCTCCTGCACACCCACCACTGAGGATGAGCACAAAACCAAGGTACATGGCCGGAATCGAACCTGGGACCCTTCAGTCCACAGGCCAATGCTCTATCCACTGAACCAAACCAGTTTCGGCTAAAAATAGAGAATTTTAAATGGTAATTTTACAAAATAGAAATTATTATGCCTCAGTTAATTCATACGACTTTTACCTGTATTTACTAGTAATAAAAGTGATTTACATGCCAGCATTGCAGTATATGTTTATATTTATCAGCAGTAAAATGCATATTTTATATACTTTCAAGACCCCAAGTGGATGAGGTTGCCTCCAGGACCTTGATCAATATTGCTAGTTTTGGAATAAGGATCTGCTTTAGGATCCACAGACAGCGGTGTTTTTTTAATCAAGTGCACTGATGCATGTAGCTCTCAGGTCAATGGGAGGGTTCCCAATAGGGCCCTGGGCTGGTCCACTTTTAGACTGTGGTTGTGAGGAGCTGGAGTCAGTTTAAGGTATCCTTTCAAGATCTGCTGTGGAACTGAGGTTAGGGGCTTACCTCCAGAGACACAGACTAAAAAGTGTGTGCAAACAGTACTTTTTGGTTGCAAAGGTGAAGGAGCCAGGTTCTAGTTCTAATCTAGAGGAACTGAGGTCAGCAGGTCTACTTCCAGGGAAATAGCATGTCTCTAGGCAGGCCCCTGGTGGGCAGGGAGGATTCCAACCAGAAGCTGCAAGGGACTGGTACAGATTTATAGGCCATTTCAGGATCTGCAGCCAGACAGAGGTTGGCGGGCTTGCCATGGGGCACAGAAGGGTGTGTCTCCTGCCTGGTCCCTGGGCAAATGCTCCTGTTGGCTAAAAGCAGCTGGCGCCAGGTCATGGCTGCTTCAGGTCCACAGCCAGGAGTGAAGTTGCTGAGCCTGTTACCTGTGCCATGGGGAGACATGACTCCTAATGGGTCCTTTGGCAGATGGTACTGGTGGCAGGATCAAGGTCATACAGTATTGTAGCCAAGTCCACAGAGGAACAGGGCTGGTTCTGGGTTAGTAAGTGGAACCATAGTCCCTAGTTGGCGAATCTCCTGCTTGGGCATGGGCCTGTCTTCTGAAAATGGCCCTCTGGGTTTCATCTATTTTGCAGTGAAATATAGCATCTTTTGGAAAATTTCAGCAAGAATCTGTGTTAATATCTATAATATAGCTTAATACCCTGTTTCCCTGAAAATAAGACAGTGACTTATATTAATTTTTTCTCCCAAAGTTGCGCTAGGTCTTATTTTCAGGGGATGTCTTATCTTTCCATGTGCTAGGTCTTATTTTCGGGGAAACACAGGAGTTGTTTGAAATACTTTAATTTGATAATATACCATCTATCTATCTGAATTCATGTCCCACACTAACCATTCTGGATTATTTTTAGTTTACTTGTTGGACTTAAACATTTGAATTCACTTTTGCCCTATAAATTTGTTATTATTATTGATTATCTGTATTTTATCTCATTCCAAAAAAGGTTGACAATAGCATTCTGCATGACATTCACCTTTCTAAAAGAATAACGATAAACTAAGCAAAAAAGTTAAATGGCGATGTATTTAATTCACAACAAATATGTTTAATTTATGATATCCAGACCATTTTCCAGTTATGGCATTTCACCTTGGAACTTACCATTTGAATTAAGATCTTACTTTGAATGAACTTTGCTTTGGTAAACATAGTTTGGATTAAAAAGCTTTGACATTTTATAAAGTTGATTTGGTGAACATTTGTTTTTGTTTCCACAAGGTGCATGGGTCGGAGAATGTCATTTTATTTTTATGCTTTAGTTCGGTCACAGTGTGTTCCTAACAGCCATCTTAATTGCGTCTGTGGGACACTGTCTCTGACATACCTGAAGTTTCTTCATTCCACAGAGCTATCGGTCCAACTTTAAATTGCTTTGGGAATTGGGGAGCAATTACAACTGTTGCATTACAAACATTTATTCTTCCACATCTGTGGAATCTGGCAT